TTGTATTGTATTGTATTGTATTGTATTGTATTGTATTGTATTGTATTGTATTGTATTGTATTGTATTGTATTGTATTGTATTGTATTGTATTGTAAATTACTTTGCATTGTACATCATTATGCTTGTCCCACCTCAATTGCTCATCTAGGATCATGCCAAGTGACTTTTTTTCAAAAACGCGTTTGATATTATTTCCCCCCAATGTTAGTACTGGGCTATTTCAATTGAAGTTAGACGATGTCTTGATCCTATTATCATAAACTCAGTGTCTTTCTTAAGTTTGGTCTCAATTTCGTGAGGACTTAACCCTTCACAGGAAAGGTTTGTGTCATCAGCAAATAAGTTTGCTTTAGTTGACTCTAAGCAATTGGGATGATCATTGATGTACAATAGAAATAGAATAGGACCAAGGTTAGAGCCCTGTGGTACCCCACATCCTATTTCTCTAGCAGATGACAACTTGCCATTCATAGAGCAGATTTGGTTTCGAGAAATCTCACTTAACCAATCAGTAGCAGTTTTTTAAATTGCCGCACTGGACGCCTCTCCCGTCATCAAAGCGGATCGAAACGAAAAGCACCATTCCACTGAAACACTCAATATTCTGGTGAGTGATTTCTTATTGAACTCAATGGACAACTATTGTTCTTTTAGACTTATCGATTCGAAAGCCTTTGACAGCATCAATCATTCGATATTTATTGTTGCAAAAATTCACCAACATTGGCGTTTCCCTGCCTTGTCCCCAGGCGCTAATAAAAAAAATTTCATGCGAGTCACTATATGAAAGATTTACATGAAGTAGTGCATCGCGATGAACAAGCGCAGGGGGTTATGTGCTTGAGGCATAACGCTCATATCCCACTCCCCTTTGCGCGCCTAGAATGTGACGCACTACTTCATGTAAACCTTTCATATAGTGACTCGCATGAAATTTTTTTTATTAGCGCCTGGGGACGAGGCAGGGCGTTTCCTGTCAAGCACTCAAGTGGTTCTGAAGTTACCTTTCTGGAAGGAAACAGTATGTTCGCATTGGCTCATCGGTATCTGATACACTCTCAATGACCCATGGGGTACCGTAGGGAGCACTATTGGCACCATTACTATTTTGCATCTATACAGATGATCTCCCCCGAATACCCCAACTATCCAATTTGGAATCATTCGTGGACGATTCCAAGTTATTCATGTCGTTTGCAATTAAAGATGCCTTTACTGCCATTTAGAACAACATATATGTAGAAGTAATAGAACTGAAACGACCTAAAACTAGTGGCAACTTGGTGCTTCCGAAACAAACTGCTATAAATCAATCCAGAGAAACAAAGTTTTTATTAGTACTCGTCAATTACTTGGTAATCTTCTGGAGGAAATGACTAATATTTCATTTCATGGAAAAGAGATCGCACCAGTTCTAAGCGCAAAAGATCTCGGGTTAACTCTAGATCCTCATTTGACTTATGATAATTAAACACATCAGGAATGTTATATCATTGGCTATGTCGAAACTGTGCCAAATAAGTGAGTAAAAGATAGCTTTGACAGCGACACCCTAGCTCCGCACAATCATCAGTGCCATAGTAATGAGTACTACTCTACTATTGCTCCACGGTTTGGGCAAATACATCTACCACAAACATTAAGAAACTTCAAGCAGTTCAAAATTTCGCCTGTAGGATTATAACTAACACAAGAAAATATGATCATTCCTTTTATCTTCGTTTGAGCGACTGATATTTTCATATCTTCCAAGCTCATCGTTTTTCAGTCGTTAGACTGAACTGGTTGAGAAATTGATCAATTTAATATTATGTTTAAATGGCGAAAGACGGAACCTCCAATCGCCCGTTAAACGATTTGTTCTTGTAGATAAAGTTGAAAACGTAATGATACAATAGTCAATACGTTAAATTCCAATTCTTAATTATTACAGTAACCAAAAGGAACTTACATTTGTCCAGCTATACAAACTAAAAGGAGCACAGATGTCAAAAGCTTCCCCATTCTGATATGGAATTCTGTTCCTTGATAAACCACGATTGACTGTGGGCAGTGATTTGATGTAAAACCCAGTTTTATATTCAACGCTGAACAACCAACAATCCTCCCACGCCTGGTACTGTGACGTTTGGCACCTGTTCGGCACATTTATGCTAATCATGTGAATTTAATTCCCAAAGTTAAGGAATTCAAAAGTTTAAAAATCCAATGAATTCTGCCAGGTTTGCTATTGAATTGGGTTAGACGAGCAAATAAAATCCGAGAAAGGTGAAAATCAACGGGAATGTCGATACCAAAACGACTTGCGGAACGTAGCAACCGCGTAACTACGGAGTGTTCGGACTATCAATTACATACTGTATGCATACAGCTAATTCAATCATAGTTAATAGAATAGATGGTTTGGAAATTCATTAGAATAACAATATAACTCATTATCTATGTTTGTCAACGTTTATTCATAAATCTGGCCCTTCACCGTCACGTGCGTATTGTACTTTTGCCCAACTAACCAATAGCAATGTTTTAGGAAAGTTAATATATAGGGTAAATCGAACAATAGGGTAAATTGGAAATTGCTATTTAATATATTGGTGGATTTGGCAAAAATACAATACACACGTGACGGTGAAGGACCACATTTATGAATAAACGTCGACTAACATAGATAAGTTATATTGTTATTCTAATGAGTTTCATTAATTGTGCTTCAATTAAAGGCCAGATTCCACGAGGCGGAATTTTTCGACCGAATCGAAATTTCTCTTTGTTTTATGAGCTCTCAAGCAGAACTAATTGTAAAAAGACAAAGAGAAATTTCGTTTCGGTCGAAAAATTCCGCCTCGTGGAATCAGGCCTTTACACACGAGTAACAACCGAAGGGAAATTTTCTCAAGTAACGACAACGAAAAGATAAACTACAGTTCTCACCAATGCAGACTTTCTGCAACATCGTTTGGCTTACGTGCTGCAAAGAATTAGAGCTGAATATTTTCTCAACAGTATACGAATATTTCCACGGATACAAAAAAAAATAACATTTTCACAACCAAAAGGGTAAAATGACTCAAATGTGCAATACTTCCGACGGAGACCACCAGGAGATCTCGAATCCAGAACAACCTATATTAGTCATGCACTACTTGTCTACGAGTTCTGGACACGAGATTGAACTACAGTACCTATAGTACCTATAGTATGAACCTGAAAGTTGTAGACTTCCTCTTCATCTTTCGTCGCATCTTTACAGCCCGTGATGTATTTATGTCGTCGTATCTCGATGTAGGTAGGGGAGCTCCATTAATCCTCAAATTGAAATCGTTGATAAATCCAGCGTAATCCGATTTGTAGTACACCTTCATCCAAGAAACTCCGCCTTCAAATGTTGCAGGTCCATCCAGTAGGGAGATCAGCTGATATTGCGAATTGACCAGTATGGTCCGGCTTAATAAAGTCCGGTCAAAGTAGAGAACACGAGTTAACTCGGCTTATTACCTCTATCGATTCAGAACGGTTCAGTTAATGATATAAGAAACTTCAATAGTCTGTCTTAGTTCTTCCGTGTCATGATCCACGACCCATTTTTCCACTGTTCACAGCTTCATTCATCATTCTATCTTCACACCATTGATGACGTTTTTGTTGTTCGACATATTCGTACCAGATTAGGAGAGCTTGGTTGATGATATGTAAAAACTTCAATGTACAGTAAGCAGTCTCGATTTCTTTTTGTGTCTGTCTATGTTATCTTTGTTATAGCTTACGTCTGTTTGCAGCTTTGCATCGTTGCGTCTTTAGACCATGAAGAACATATATTGTTTTATTAAGGTATTCCCTTTCAGTGCGCAAATACAAAATTCTCACATTTTTGTTCAAATATTGGAATCGAGTATCATCATTTCATGTATCATCACTTGCATAAAAATACATCTGAGAATTATATTTTTAAGTAAATGCAAGCCAGAAATTCATGAATGCTTGCCAAGTGGCGTAACATTATATCAGGGGCCCCCGGTTCAAAATTTTCGAAGGCTTCCCTAGTAGTAGTGCCAAAGGCACGAGTTGAGCGCCGCATATGCACGAGTTTTCTAGGGGTCCAGGGCATGCTCACCCGGAAAATGTTTGAATCTAGACTTTCTGAAATGCCATTTCCCAGCCTTTGGGGAGAGATTTTACAGAATTCTGATGGTCAGAAAACGACATTGTGACATCAGAGGCCCTGGTCAATGTTTTTGCTCTACAACCTGAGCCTGGGGGCCCCCATTGGGGTTGGGGGCCCTCGGGTTCGCCCGGTCCGAGCCCATAGTAGTTACGCCACTGATGCTTGCATGTTTTTTTATTTGAAACCGATGCAGACAAGATAACACTCCACTGTAAACTCCTTGCAGTAGTAATTGTCTCACTTCTATGTTTTTTTTTTAACGCTCAGAGAGCCAATATTTTGCCTAGCTATTGTTTGAAACATACAGAAAATACAAAAGACGGCCCCGTAAATCAGTTGTATTTACAAACAGTGAAATTCAATACTATAGGGTTGGAAAAACGTAGGCTGTAATCCGAAAATTGGAAAATCAAGGAAGTTAAACAGGAGAGTGTACAATGTCTAGCATCAAATAATTCGTGAATAATTTTAGTTATCAAATGCCAAACAGCTAGCGAAAATGTTCCCTTTAGGTCAATTGTAATAAGATGCAACTCGTATACCTGTACCGAGTATAGGACTTGACCGTGAGCATATAGAAAGGTCTGGTAACGAGTTAACCGTGAGCATATAGCTAGGTCCGGCGACGACCTGACCGTGAGCATATAGCAAGGTCTGGTAACGAGTTGACCGTGAGCATATAGCTAGGTCTGATAACGAGTTGACCATGTGCATATAGCTAGGTC